TGTGTGTGTGTGTGTGTGTGTGTGTGTGTGTGTGTGTGTGTGTGTGTGAGTGTGTGTGTGTGTGTGTGTGTGTGAGAGAGAGAGAGAGAGAGAGAGAGAGAGAGAGAGAGAGAGAGAGAGATTGACACATGAGCTTCAGAACTAGACAGCTCTACAATCCCATTCCCACATCCACTTGCCAGCGGGGTGGGCTTAGAGAAATGTAGATGTATGGTAATTACCACACATTTATAAATGGATTCGCACATTTATAAAATCAGCTTTTAACCCTCGCAATCTGTGGCAGGAAATAATTAGTGGGTTCCAAAGTTCCCCAGGTCTGAAGTCACAGTCCACGAGATTGGGTCAGAGGGAACTTCATAGGTGGGAGATGCACCTGGGATTATCTGGGCAAGCAGTGAACCTTTGAAGTGACAAAAGGAAGAGATGAAAGGTCAATAAACAGCAGGCAAGATGTGAGGCAGAAGGGGCATCATTGCTGCCTGGCCTGGAAGATGATAAAGGAGTCAGAGCAGAGAACCTGTACAGCCACAGGGAAAAGGGAAAGCCAGAACAGAGAACCTGGAATTCCTCAGGGAAATAGGAAAGCCAGTCTTGTTCCCCCAGAGTCCCCACCCCTAAAACTGTGAGTTTTCCCCAGTGAGATCTGTTCTGGACCTCTGGCTGCCCAAAGCAAAAGCTACTACCTGTGAGTTGGTTTAAGCTGCTTGTTAAAGTAACAATGAGATACTTTAACTCTGCAAGAAAGAGTTGTCATGGAAACAAAAATCAAAGCCCATAGCAGCTCCTCTCCTCCCCCAAACTCAACATTCAGCAAGTCCTCTACCTTTTCCAAAGTTTATGTGACCTGCTTTTCAGGGCTACACAGACAGCTTCACCCAACCCTTCAGGGTAATTGTCTATCAATAAAAGGATGCCCTGGTTTTTTTCCCCACTCTCTTTACTGAGATTTTTGACGGTCTATTAAAATGGCTCCGAGGCCTAATAAAACCGAGATAGAACGACACTCTCATTCTTTTGATCTGCTGTTAATTTGGGCAGCGGCCATCATTCGGCAGCTTGCTGGCTGTAAATAATTGCCATCTTGCAGAACAGCTGGCTTTCCAGACTGTGTTTTGGGGCTTCAACTGTGCTGTTCAGATGACTGAACTTCCAGGGAAGAAGCGTCATTCACCCATAGGGATGAGGGTCCACCGTGGTGTGGGGAGCCAGCTCTGCCTTTGGGAGGAGGCACAGACTGTATGATTGTTACACGTCAGGGGCAGAATCCACAGCGCCATGGTCTTGTCTGTGGCAGCACAGCTTGGGGCTGTGCTACATTGGACTAAAGAGTTTCCAAAGTTCCCAGTAGTCCTGAGATTCCAGTGTCACCATCTGCATTCTCTGTGGTCATGGTGTGAGATACTGGATCTAATGTATACAGAGACTAAAGGTGAGGGTGACAGGGCACAGCAGGGGCATGTTTGGGCTCAGTGGTCTTCCAGGCCTGTTGTTGGTCATGATCTGGGGCCATCTTTGGGTCCAGATGCCTAGCTTTTCAGACTCTCACCTTTTTCTTAGGGAGAGCCAATAGTAACAGGTCACCCCAACAGGAATTGCTGAAGACTATACTAAGCTCAATGGAGACTTAGTACAATGTCACTTGCGATCTGATTCCCTAATCACATACTGAAATCCCAGTCCACCCTGCCCCCCAGTGTAACCTTATTTGGAGACAGATCATTGCAGGTATTGTTAGTTAAGTTAGGATTGGGTTATTCTGGAGTGAGTTGAGCCCCCAAATTCATTGTCTTTATAAGGAGGGAAATTTTGGAAACAGACACCTACAGGGAGACTACCCATGAATATTGGAGTCTTTCTGCTAAAAGGACACCAGAATGGAGAAGAAGGCCAGGGCAGATCTCAGAAGGCAGAGGAGGGTTTAGGGCATATGCTAAAAAGGCTAGGTGGGCTGGAGCAGACCCTGAGAAAGCAGGGGTTGGGCTCAGGCAAATCTTACCCTGAGTCATCACAGGGGACAAGGCTCTTGATCTTGGAGTTAAAGCTTGGGAAAGATGAGGGGCATCCCTGCAGTCTGAGCTGAAACACACTGTTACTGCAGCTGTGGAAACTAACGAAATCACTGATGGTTATCCGAGACCAAGTCCTAGTTCATAGAACAAAACATAAGGGGACTGAGCAGACGAGACATCCCAGCAGGTTAAAACAGAACCAGCCATCTGCTTTGGCTCTACCCCACTCTCTGCAGATGTGAGCAGCTGCTGGCAGCCTCCTCTGAGCTGGACCATTCTGAGAATTAGAACCTGTGTAGGAACTGGACACAATGCTCAGTGCTTGCAGATCTGACTGTTTCAGTGACGGTTCTGCCCTCTGAGAGTTCGTTCATGCAGGAAATCGAGATTTTGGTCTTAGAAGATACTCTGCTCTCTGCCCATCCCAGGCTGGGTCTTTTCTAATCCTGATTCCCAGGCTCTGACATCCAGCCTGGCTGACTGGATGCTTGAGGAAGGTTGCCTCCAGTACCTCAGAAGTCTCAGGGAAGTATCAGGAGGATAATATCCCAGTTGTGTCCACCTGTCTTTGCTTTTGCATTTTGGTTGAATTATCTCAAGCCTGTTCAAAAGACATTGTAATAGATAGATAGATAAATAAATAAATAAATAAATAAATAAATAAATAAATAAATGGTGAACTACAGCTTTGGAAACCGTATAAACATCTGACAGGGAGCTTGTGTCCTGCATATGTAAAGAACCCTGAGAAATCAAGAAGATCAACTGCTCTCTGAAAGTATTCAAACAGATCTTTACCAAAGAAGATTCGCAAAGATCAAAAAGCACAGGAAAAATTTCTCAGTGCCATTAGCCATTAGGGAAGTTAAAATGAACAGCAAGATTCTGTCATTCACCATAAGGACAGATGAAATTTAATTCCTGATAATTCCAAGTGTTGCCAAGGAAATGGAGCAACAGGAACTCTCACACTGCTAGTCAAGTTTAGAGTCGTATTACTCATTTAGAGAACATTTTTTGCAGTTACCTATGCACTCACCATTCCATGCATGAGTATTTACCCAAGAGAAATAAAATTCATGACTACATAGAGACCTATATGCTGATGATGTACCAGAGACCAAACCTGGAAGGAACCACGTGTCCATCAACAGACAAGGAGAAATCACTTGTGGTATATCCATCAGTGGAATACTGATCAACCATGAAAAACAACTATTCATGTGTATCACAAGCAAAATAGTTCTCAAAAACGTTATAAAGATTGTGAAATTCTAAAACTGTTCTCTTTAAACCCAGTGTTAGAAAGTGGATCAGGGCCGGTTGCGGTGGTGCATACCAGTAGGATTTGCTGAAGGAGGCAGGAGGATCATGAGTTTGATGCCAGCCTGGGCTACACATTTTGCCGGATAGTGGTGGTACACACCTTTAATCCCCACACTTGGGAGGCAGAGGCAGGAGGATTTCTGGTTTCAAGGCCAGCCTGGTCTACAGAGTGAGTTCCAGGACAACCAGGGCTACACAGAGAAACCCTGTCTCAAAAAAAAAAAAAAAAACAAACAAAAAAGTGGATCAGGGGCTGTCTGGAGCTGAGGGAAAGGACATAGGAAGTCTTTTGATGGAGGTGACATTTTCTATATCTCAATTGCAGTTATAGTAATAGGGTACAAAATTATAACTTAAATTAATTTTTAAAATTCTAATAAGAAATATTTTGCCATTGATATCTGTCCAAAGGTCCCAGCACACTGGGGGTGGTTGCTGCAAGGGAACCTTACAGAACAGAGTCCCCAGATGCTTCTTTTTTTTTTATAATTTGTTTTTCAAATTGTAATTTATACTCATTCACACAGGGGTTATAAACACAAAAAGACAGGACGTGGGGAAGGGGAGGACACTGCGGGGTGGGTGTTCAGGAGGAATACAGATATTTTTCAGAACAGGGTATCGGCTGGGTGAAGGTTCAGGGGATAGGTCACTATGACTCTGCCTATGATTCACTTGTCCTTATCTAAGTTGGTAATATCTGCCAAGGCTACCTATTTACAAGGTCTATGACTACTCAGGCTGGTAAATTGTCACAAAAGCTGCCTGTTTACAATAGCTTATAGCCATCTGTTTCAGTGTTTATCCACAGAGACCCAAGACTTGGTGTTAGTATACATGTATGACAGGCCTATTGCTGATTTTAGGCCTATGGCTGATTTTAGGCCTTCAGTGTGTAAGCAGGGATGCCCTGACATCTCCTCCCTTCTCTAAGTATAGACGGGCTGTGGCGAATCTAATCTTGCGAAGGCAGGGATAGAGAAGCCTGAGAGTTACTTCCTAGTTGGCACATGTAACCTTCAAGAGCAGCTGTTCCATCTTGAGTCAGTGTCTTCCCTGACAGCTTTAGTCCAGGGTAATAATATCCACTCACTCTAATCCCTTCAGACAGGCTGCACTTCAGTAAGGCCTGGAGGAGGGAGCACACTGATGCCCTGACCCCATAGGACCAGGAGGGCCGTTTCCTTAACTCCCATCTTTTCGAAAGCTGTATCCTCAAGGGGCTTCCTAGACCAACCTTCCTGATGCTGCCGCCCTTTAATACAGTTCTCATGTTGTAGTGACCCCCCAGCCATAAAATTATTCCACTACTACTTTGGAACTATAATCTTATTACTGTTATGAGTTGTAATGTAAATATGATATGCCACCCCTGTGTGTGTGTTGGGGTGGGGGTCATGACCTACACAGGACTAAGACTTCTGAGCTCTATTATTTCCCATGCAAAGAACATGTGCTAGCTTCAGGCTGACTCAGCTTCCTGCTTCCTCAGTGACCTGGGGGGGGGAACCATATCTCCTCCCCAACAAAGCCCCTGAATATTGATTTCATAGTGTAAAATATTGGTTCTTAGTTAGCTTGTATTTGGAGGACATTTTTAAATGTTGACACTGTGTTTGGCTCACATGAAGAAGATTCTCTCCAGAGCCCTATACCCTAGGGTAATGAAACCTATTGTTATGTTTGAAAATATGGATATCAATCAACAATGCATATCTATCTCTGTGGTCTGTAACACATTGTCACACCTCAGCGTGACACACTGTAATCTTAGATTCACAGGACAAGGCAGGTTCAGCCCATTGTAACCACAGAGACTCCCTGTGTAACAATGTGACACATTAATCTCTTAACTGTGACATGCTAACCTCAGCACAGCTGTTACATGTGTCAGAATCAGAATAACAATGCAACATGCTAATCTCACTGTGACCTGGTCCCCTATGCCATATGGAAGCTTGTCCCTGGCAGCCTCTGTGCTGACATCAGAGCTGTGCTCATCAGGGACTCTAGCTTAGCTCCTCTGAGACACTGAGGAGACAAAGCCCCACATCCTCCAGCTCCTGCCTGCATCCCTCCCTCCCTCTGCCTCTCCATCTCCTTCTTATTGCCTCTCCATCCTCTTTTCCCACAAAGTTCTGCTCTTTGCTTCTTCCTTGACCCTCCACACCTCCCATAGAGCGAGCTCATTGCCCTCCTCTCTGTTTTCACTGCCTTCATATGCACACTGCATGTCTTCCTAGCTCACTCCATCAGCAAAGAACCCATGGCAGCCAGGGGTACTCCTGGTTTCTGATGTGAGGGCTTTCCAAAGAGGGCAGGGAGAAAAGAGAGTCAGTCTATGACTCAATGCTCTATGTGTTCAAGGATTGGACATGAAGATGGGACACTGGGCTGCTTGCTACAAACTGAGGGTTTTTGCCTGCTTCTACTTTGGGAAACTTAGTATCTTTGGAACTAGAAAACATTCTGCAGGAATCGCTCCTTCACCCTTTATCAGTCATGTGCCTTGGACAGCTTCCCAAGTCTCTTGGTTTTTGTTTTGTTTGTTTGTTTCATTTGTATAATGGGGCAAAGAAGGCCCGTTTCATGGGGATATTTGTGGGGATTAAATGATTAGTATTTGGAACGTGCTCAGTGCACTGCTTCCAACAGAGTGGGTGCTCAGAAATGACCCCTCTTCTGTCACCTAGACTAATCCTGTGGTCACACAAAAAGAAGTTGATTCACAAAAGGGGTGGCCTTCATGTTCAAGGCCATGGGGCCAATTAAAAGCTGGAGTGAGAGCAACCACACAGGCAGCCGTTCTTTGACTGACAGTTTCTGCTTTGACTGACAGTTTTAGGCCCAGCTGCTCCTGAGTTGAGTTTAGGCTCAGCATGCTTTTCCTCTCATCTCAAAGGTACCCTGAAGAGATACTACCATCCACACTTCCCAGGTGAGGAAACTCAAGCTCAAAGACATTCAGTCAGTCAGTCATCCATCCTGCATGCAAGGAAAACAGAGGCAGAACCAGGACTTGAGACCAGGTCATCCTGTCTTCCAGCCCAAGTCCCTCTGGACATCTTTGCTCTATTCTCTTGGATCAGGTTGCCAAGAGGTAAAGTTTAGGAAACCTGGGTTTGCAGAAAAAAACCCCTTTCAACCAGTCAGGGTATCTCCACCCGCTGCCAGTCTCTGACTATGAACTAAAGGCCCCTCCTGTCCCAGCAAAGTCATTCCTGGGTGATCTGGTCCCTGACTGCTCCCCATAGCCAAGTGGTCTGAGCTGTCACCTGGCCTATAGGACTGTATTCTCCAGATAGCAAATGCCACCCATGTTCCAGATCCTGCTCTGCCTAGATGGCAGCACCCATTCATATGAGGAGAAGGTCCACCCCAGACAGCTTCTGGTCCCCTGGCTTCTGGTGAGCATGGCACTGACTCCCTGCATTGAAATTCCAAGGCAGTGTTCTCAAGGCTTCTGGACCTTGTCCTTCTTCTTGTCACCCGAAGCTGCCAGGCAAGAGATCACATGCTCAGACCTCACGGCCCTCAGCAGTGTCACTACTTCCACTCACCAAAGCAAATGGGTTTAATTGATTGATTGTTGCATGAGTGAGATGCATGGATGGATGGACAGGTAGATGGGTGGGCAGATAATGGATGGATGGGTGGACGGGTGGGTGGGTGAGTGGATAATTGATGGGAGGGTGGGTGGAGAGATGGATGGGTGGGTAGGTGGGTGGGTGGGTGAATGGGTGGGTGGGTGGATAATGAATAGGTGGATGGATGAGTGGGTAGGTGGGTGGGTGGAGGGATGGGTGGGTGGGTGGAGGGATGGATGGGTGGGTGGGTGGATGTGGAGTTTTAACTTAGTGTGGGTTTTATTCTGGCATTTTCACACATCATTCATTCTTGTTGATCCTCCCCACTCCTCAGAATGGGAGTTCTGCTTCCTTGTCACAGGAATTCTGTTATCCCCCTTTCTCCCTCCCACTTAAGATCTCCTACTCTCAAAGGATTCTAAGTCACTCACTCATAGATGCCTGCTTATGATGGTCCTTTCTGCTCTATGCACGGTAGCCGGTAAGCAGAGCATCTCATGCAGATCGTGAATAAGGACGGTGCCCTAAAGAAAACGGACATGTGCAGGAAAAGGAAGGGAACTGTAGATATCTATGTTAAATAAGTCAGACGCAGAAAGCAAACACTACAGGTTTTTCTCACATGAAGATCATGTGTGTCGGGGGAGGGTGTTAGGAAGACCGTGAGAGGGGAAAGGAAGTGGCGCTCTCAATAGGAATCGTCCCACCTCCAAGCTGGTGCTTGAGCTAACCCTCTCCCTGATGATGTCTGCCTGTTTCTGCCTCCTCCAGGAAGCCCCTCCTAACTGCTCAATTGAAATCAATCATGAGTCTTGACCACACCTTGGGTTCAATTCCTGGCCTCCTCATTTTCTGCTGTGTGACCTCTTCTAGGTTACCTCATCTCTCTGATCCTTGATGTTCCTTTTTATTATTTTTTTTTCTCGCCTTGGTGACAGACAGAAGAGTCAGTGGGAGGAGATCAGGAACAGTCCCAAAGCTGCAGCTGTGGAGAGCTGGGCGGGAGGGCAGGGCTGCTGGGGCTGCATACAGTTGTCCTCCTAGTTCATAGCCCCTGTGTCAAACCAGCCCTCCACAGCCTTCCATGGCCCTCCACCATCTTCCCAGGACTGGGATCTCTTTTGTATTGGCTCGAAGTGAAATAATTCATTCTCTCTCTCTCTCTCTCTCTCTCTCTCTCTCTCTCTCTCTCTCTCTCTTTCTCTCTCTTCCTCCCCCACCCTGTCTGAGTAGGGCCTGGTCATTGAGCGCTTAGGAAGAAGACCTCTCCTCATTGGTGGCTTCGGGCTTATGGCCCTCTTCTTTGGGACCCTCACAGTGACACTGACCCTGCAGGTGAGATATTGTGTCTGTCACATTTTAAGGGGGTCAGCAGGTAGGTAACTGGCTCTGCTGTCATCACTCTGGAGCCTTGTGGGTTCATCTTCTCAACAGACTCCTGTGAGGCATCTCTCCCATGGAGCCTCGCTTCCAGAGGGAAATTGAACAAGAAAGGTCCTGACTTCTGGCCCTGCCACTGCCACAGATGAACTGTGTTGTGAACAGGACCTCTCCCTTCCCTGCACCTCAATCTACCAGTCTTTGGAATGGGGGTGGATTATGTTAAGTGCCCCTAAGATGCCCCTCTAGTTATCACCTCCTTGCTAAGAGAGCTGGGTTCTGCCTGTCAGGTGGCTTCTCAGTAACTCCCCTGTCACCTGGATTCCTTGTACTGGCATCTTGTCTTTTCTACTTACCATGCTTCTGGCTCCTTTCGGGCCCTAGCTCTACAAAGGAACGCCATCCTTGTAGCCTGGGATGCTGTGAGGAGTCGCTAACATCATGTGAAGGGCATGATACAGGACTGTGTGTTTACACCTATAGTTGCATATATTTACACAGGGGAGCAATTATACCCACTCTCCTTATGAAACTCAGATTGTCTCCTTTGAAAAACTTACTATTTTATTTTATGCATGTGGATGTTTTCCCTGCATGCATGTCTGGACACCACATGTATGACTGTTGCCCATGGAAGACAGATCCTCTAGAACTGGAGTTACAGATGGTTGTGAGCTACCATGTGGGTGCTGGGAACTGAGCTTGAGTTCTCTGCAAGAGAAGCAATTGCTCCTAACCACTGAGCCATCTCTCCAGCCCCAGATTACCTCCTTTTATGGAGGGAAAGTCCGAATCATAAATATAAGTGATCAGGTTTTATGGCTGGATGAAAGCAAGGTGGGTAGGATCCCAGCACCTGTATTACAGCCTCACGGCTTCCCTTCTGATCTCTACCCTCTCAGGGCAACCTGCATTCATGGAGCACCTACTGGGTGTCTCCAGCCAAGAGTGCACGTAAATCTTGGCATTTTTTTTCAGGAATAAGTCTTAACATTGAAAGTCGGGCATCTTGTTCATCAGCCAGATATCCTAACATTCCAAATGGTTTTAGAAAGACGCAAAGGTAGTGTAATGATGTCAGAAGCCAGTCCTTCAGGGGTGGTGCTGAACTGGTTCCTCCTTGGGAGATAGTGTGTTTGTTGCCTGAGCTGCTATTTTCCCATATCCAGGCATACAGTTGTCCTGAGCTGGGTGGTTTTGCAGTCTCCTTGGACATCTGAGGTTTTGAGAGAAAGCGATAGGTCCTCTGGGATCTGTCTTTCTTCTGCTTCAAGCATCCCCTCAATCTAAGACCCACACAACAGGACCTCAGGGCTCTCTCAACAGCTGCCTGTAGATGAGCGGCAGGCTCTGTGGACACTCCGCACACTCATGGGATGTCAGGCGTGTGAACACGGTGCTTTACACAGGAAGGGTGACAACTGAGTCAAGTGTGGCAATACTTGACTGAACATTTGCTCTGATGCTTTGCTTTAGAGAAGTGGTTCTCAACCTGTGTGTCGCGATCCCTTTGAAGGTTGAATGACCCTTTCACAGAGCTTGTCTAAGACGATCAGAAAATGCAAATACTTACATCATGGTTCTTAACAGTAGTTATGAAGTAGCAATAAAGTAATTTTATGATGGGGGGGTCACCACAACATGAGGAACTTATTAAAGGGTCTCAGCGTTAGGAATTGAGAATGACTGCCTTTGACCATTGGTTTCCTGGGAATTGTGCACTTATTTACACTTCTTGCTTACTGGTGTGCGGCGCGCAGCCTCGCCGATAAGGAGAACGCCACACTCAGGATTCTTCTGACAGCAATTTATTGTACAGCTCTTTAGATGGCAGTGAGGTGAGGGACCCCAAACCCAAAAAACCTGTGGCTTATATAGAGCCCTAGGAGATGTGCCACACACTCATTAGCTCTCACGACATTGCCAAATTAGCATACTGGTTTTTGCTCCTTGCGCAGGCGCACATTCAAGCAAGGGTCTCAAGAAGAACCAGGAAGCAGGAAACCAGCGCCATGTTGCAATGGCGAACGCGGCTCCTAACACTGGTGACTGTGGAATTCTATTGGCATCATCTCCTTGCAACCCACATCAGAGAACAGAATGGTCAAGGGGTTGCCATTTGCAGCAACTGGGGCTCAGAACATGAAATGACCTGTCACACAAAGGGAGTCAGGAAAATGTAAAACCTCAGGTTCCCTGGCTGTTCCACAGCTCCTCACCTGTTCTCGTTGTCCTTCTGCAGGACCGAGCTCCCTGGATCCCTTACCTAAGCATTGTGTGCATCTTGGCCATCATTGCCTCGTTCTGCAGCGGTCCAGGTAGGACATCCTCCTGCATGGTGCCAGGCCTGGAAACCGGGGAGAAGGGGCAAATATCTCCTTGTCCAGTGGAAGACTTAGGCCCTAGGAAGAAGCAAAGCCTAATGGGGGAAAGGGTGTGTCCCCCTTGTCCTTAGAGCTTATGAGTGCAGTGGGCTAGCTTCATTCTGTTCACAGAGGCAGGTACAGGCTAACTCATAAACCTGCTGATGGTAATGTCCAAGAGCCCAATAATGATGAGCCTGAGTGCCATATGCCAGACTCAGGAATGACGTGAGGAATCAAAGACAATCAAGCTATATCCGAGCCTTGGAGAAGGCACAGGTGACCTGAGAAGCTCACTGATGGTGGTGGCAGGGATCCACGCATCGCTGCTGGTAGACGGCACTCTATGAACCCAAGAGAACAAACTCCCTCAAGGCTCCTGATAGCTCTAGGGAAGACCACTGTCACTAAGTAGCTGGGGAGAGCTCTGGCTACAGACCTGGCCGCTGTCTACCACCGTGCATGGTACCTGCTAACTGTGGAGCCACAATTGGTGGCTTCAATTAATCCAGTTCAATTAATCCATTCCCACTGTTTCCTAGCCATGCATCCCCTGGGAACAACTGTTCTTCTTATTGTACCTCAGTTTCTCCTTTCTGTAGGATGGAGTTTTCTTCATGGTCTTGCTATTTTCTGGTTTTGTGTCTGTGTCAAGCTACAGCCTCCATGAGACTGATGCTGAGAGGAAGGATTAGGGCAGCATCCAGCATGGCTGCACATTCTTTCCCTGATAGGGCTTCAGAGCCTTTTTTTGCTTTTCTGTGTGTTGATGAAAAGACTGAATTGTGGAACTGAGTGAGGTTCAGTTAGTCATGTATTGTCTGGTGTGCAAGTTGGCCCCAGTGTCTCCTAAATCAGTCATGATGACATTTGTTTATTTGAGTTCTAGCAAAACAAATGGAATTGAACCTGTTTTATTTGTGGTTGTGATTTTAAAGGGCTGTCATGTTGTTGGTTTCCCATTTGTGATTGGAGGATGGAAAGCATTTGTCCTCATCCAAAGTTTTAGGGAACTATGACAGGATGGCAGAGGAGACCTTGTAATGATCAAGGTAGCACCAGTACACACAACACACACACACACACACACACACACACACACACACACTATGAAGGCAGGGTATTCAGAACAGCTGGTCAACAATGGGTACGCTATGCTGGCTCCACTAGATTCCTGTCAACTTGACACAAGCTAGAGTCATTTTGGAGAAGGGGATCTCAATTGAGAAAATGCTCCTCACCACAATGACCTGTGGACAAGCTTGTGGTACATTGTCTTGATCGCTGATGGATGTGGGAGAGCCTAGCTTACTGTGAGCATTGCCTCCCATGAGCTGCTGGTCCTGGGTGCTCTAAGAAAGCAGGCTGAGCAAGCCATGAGTTAACAAGCCAGTAAACAGCACTCCTCCATAGCCTCTGAATCAGTTCCTGCCTCCAGGTTCCTTCCCTGACTTCTCTGAGTGATGGAGCTGTAAGCTAAAATAAAAACACATCACTCCCCACACTGCTTTTGGTCATAGTGTTTTATTGCAGCTAAGCCTTAGCCAAGACAGGTACCTATCAGGCAGGACAGTGAACTATCAGGAGGATACACATTGTACTGCAGCAACCTAGATCTGGGGACCTGATCTTGTTTCCTAATATTGATGATCAACAACTACTCCTCACCTCTCCTGTGATCTTTCCCCAGCTACCCACTGATATTAGACTAGGTTACCCCACATACACACACACACAGTGGCAGCTTTGAACATATAGGATGCTGTCTTACCTTCCTGCTTGCCAGTCAATCCTGAGGTGCAATTGGCATGTTAAATAGAGAAATGGCCAGGTCATTTTTCCCCTTTGATCTGTTCTGTCTATGCTAGGAATAAAAAATGAGTTACAGGTGAGCCTCCAAATTCTTTCTAAATGAACCTTATTCTAAATTTATAGACTAAGAGAAAAGCACTTAGGGTTGATTAGTTTCCTGAGTCACAGAGTTGGGAAGTAACAGGTTTGGACCTTCACCATCTTGTCCTAAGACTCACGATCTTAATGTCTTCATATGTACCTGGCTGTGGTGCATTAAATGCTTGCTAAAACTTGAGTAGAATTAAGTACATTTTGAGATGGACCTACAAAGTTAAAAAAACAACTAAGGTGGCACAGTGGTTAAAGGCACTTGCCACCAAGGATCCCAGGACCCACATGATGGAAGGAGAAAACCAACCCCCACCCCAGCTCACACACACACACACACACACACACACACACATACACACACATACACACACACACAAGTTGTCCTCTGACCTCCACGAATGTCCCACACTTACATAAACAACTGTATTTTTTTTTAAATGACTCAGAGGGAAAGGGGTCTGCACAGAGATTTCAGGTCTGAGGAGGAAGCTTCCATGGGTTTCTTCTCAGGATGAGGTTCATGGCCATCTTCACCAATCTACCCTGTATGCAGCTACACAAGACAAATTTAGCTCTTAAATTCAGACCCCTAAATCAAAGCACTTGGTGTTGAGGAGAAAGCTTTTGGGTCTCAGGGTGTGAACTGCTCAGCTCCACACTGGTGTCTAGGGGGCCCCCTCCAGGGAAGTCACCTGCACCCTACAACCATGGACTAACTTTTAGTCCCGATACTTTATCCCAAGTCCCTGGTATTCCCTTAGCAGCCATGCCTCCCAGCAATCAATAATCTCAGCCACCACATGGACTGGGGTCTAGAAAAACTCATATTCACAGTGCCGACTCCAAGGCCCCTGGGAGATTATCTGTCTAAGGGAATTCCAGACTGTGAGAGCTCTGGCATCTGCCTAAGTCGTTAGGGCAGAGCCCATCCCTAGAGGAGCTCTCTAGAAAAATAAGGAATGAGGGTGCTAAGAGGTAAATGGCTGAGATCCCCCCACACAGCCCCCTCAAAGCTGTTAAGGAATGCCAAGAACCCAGGAATAATCCTCGCAGGAGAACCCAGCAGTTTGCTCCAGACAGCTTCTCTCCTGAGCAATCAATTTAAAGAGACCTGACAGGGAGTTGAAATTAGACAGAGAGAAAGAGAGAAAACAAAGCAGCAGTCTCCTACTACATATTTTATGTGTGTGCACAGCCTCAAGGTGGCTCAGAGAATCCCATAAACAAGGCAGTTGAAAGCCTCACTTTGACGGGCTGGAAATCTCTCTACATCTCATTTCCAACCTGAAAGTTGACATGAGGGTCTGACACCCCAAAAGAGGGAAGCCTTAGTGGGGAGGACAGAGGTATCCAGATGAGGATAGTGTTTTAAGCTGGGAATTAGGATGGAGGCGAGCAGTGGGAGGAAGGTGCTGGCCCAACAGGATGTACCAGGTGCCTGCTTAGTACAAGTCTGATATGAAAAAGGGGTCCCCTCTACTTGCAATAATGCTCGGGCTCTGTGGAGCCTTTCCAGCAGGTAGAAGTTACCTGAGGCTGGGTGAAGGATATATAGGAGCCCTCCAGCTATGCAAGCTAGAGTTCCACAGAGGCCCTAGCATCCCAACTAAGCTCTTGCAGACCCCAGAGGAGAACCTGAGTAAGGTGATGGGAACAGAGGCAAGTGAAACAGGTAAAGCAGAAGGCCCCCATCCCATCTACAGAGGAAGAAGTGAGAACGTGTTATTCCTGACCTGGGGAAGACCTTGGAGAGTCAGATCTTGCAGTAACCATTTTTTTTCAAAGGGTTTCCAGGATGGGGAGGGACCAGGACTAATGGGTGCTCATGGCTAGCATTCTAGATTTATCTGAACATTGCTGTTCTTGTTCTGTGTGTCTGTGATCTCACTGTTGGGCAGGTCTGGGCTCTGAACCCTGCCCATGACACAGGTAGTATACAGAGGTGGACAGGAGGCTGTGTTTATAGCATGAACCATCCTGGAATAAAATTCAAGACTCAGCTACAAGTTCTCAAGCACCTCGTTTGGAGTTATAGAACAAAACAAGAGCCCCGGCCCTGCTAGTAAATCCCACTGCCACTAAGTCAAGAGCCAACAGATATGAGTCTCCTTGTACAGCAGCTACTGTGCACACAGCCCCAGATATTCCTACCTGTTGAAAAATGAACAGGTATAGGAACAAATGAAAGAGAAACACACACACAGAGAGAGAGAGAGAGAGAGAGAGAGAGAGAGAGAGAGAGAGAGACAGAGACAGAGACAGAGACAGAGACAGAGAGAGAGAAGGGGGGAGAGACTAACTTCTGTGAACGCCTTTGGCCTTCTCACAGCTAAACTATGTAGCTTAGATGGGACTCCAGTCCCCTGGGGAGCTAGAAAATTATGTCCAAAGCAGAGTGACAAGAAAATTAATTTCTAGTCTTCATGACTAAGCAGGAATTATTGGATAGAAAAATAGGTACAATTATACTCATACAACTAGAGCCATAAACTGAGACACATCCTGAGACCAAACCAGTATGTGGTCATGATTCTTGAGAGACAAAACCCACGAAATACAAAATTAGCTGTCATTGCTAAGGACATATCAGTGAATTTATATGAAGGTGAAGCTTTATTTTTGGATTCATTAGCATGCGTTATTAATAGTAGCTCTGTTCTAGAAGCGGAAATACAGCCTTATGCCCATGACCACATAGGGGCTTGTAGGAAGGTCCCTGTGACATGAACCTTCTGAACTCTGCTTGTGAACACTAAGACACAATGTAAAGTTGTAGCTTCTCCTGCCCTGGTAGGAGATGGTCCCCCGCCCAGGCATGGCAGTCAAATGGACTTAAAAAGCCATTCTGTGAATGATCTCCCCTCTAATCTGAGAGTAAGGTGAGAGGACTCAGCAAGAGACAGAAGCTCCAGGACCAGCCACAGGGGGAAGATGTCCCATTCCCAAGGCCACCCAGACTGTGAGAAAACATGTGGTAACGCCGTAGCCTGGAGCAAGGCTGTGTAGTGATGCAGAGAGTCTGCCATGCAGGAATTGTCACCCTCCAAACC